CACCCACGCACCCACCCGCCCCACCCCTGCAGAGCGCCCCACCCACCCTTCCCCGTGCAGCCCCCCCCTGCAGAGCGGACCCCCTCCACACCCCACTCCCAACCCCCCTCCACCCCCACCCCCGCCTGCAGAACAAACCCTCCTCCAGCTCCCCCCCCCCCCCCCCCTGCAGAGCGGACCCCCCCCCCCCCCTTCCCCTGCAGCCCCTCCCTCTGCCGAGCGGACCCCCCCTGCAGAGCAGACCCCTCCCCCCTCTGCAGCCCAGCTCCCCCCCCCCGTCGTCGTCGTCGTCGTCGTCGTCGTCGTCGTCGTCGTCGTTGTCGTCGCGTCGTCGTCGTCGTCGTCGTCGTCGCTCGCGTCATCGTCGTCGTCGTCGTCATCGTCGTCGCTCGCGTCGTCGTCGTCATCGCCGTCGTCGTCGTCGTGGTCGTTGTCGTCGTCGCTCTCGTCGTCGTCGTCGTCGACGTATTCGTTTTCGTCGTCGGTTTCGTCTTCCTCGTCCTCGTTCATCTCCACAGGCACCCGGAGCGCCCTGGATCGGCGACACTGGCCGGAGGCCACTACAATCCCGCCTCACAAGGAGGAGAGCCGAGGCGACAGAAGCAGTCACGGAAGCGGTCCAACTTTTTCTGTGAAAGCGACGCGGGGGCCTGCGCGGCCCCCCTATAACCTGACATCTGATTTAGCCCAACTGACTGCAAGCTGCAAGCGCTGGCGGCGACGGCGAACGGAGCGGCAAACGCCGGCTGGAGCGCAGGCTCGGTCGCCAAGCAGAGGAAGCGGGAAGATATCCCCGTCGAGAATCGCAAGGAAAACGGTGACTCAAAAAGTCGCTCGAGCTCGGGTCCCCATCTCCCAAGCCCGGGGGTGGCTCAACTCCCATCGGCGGGCCCCGAGCCGTCCTCGCCGCCAATCTTGTTGGCGCCTTTCTTGGCTAGGGCCCGCTCCTCGCGCGCCTTACGACGCTCCTTCGCGATCTGATACTCCATCGACAACTGATCCTTGACAAAGTCAGCGAGCTGAGGGCTCACACACAACCCCTGATCATGTCCGTTCCCATGTACAGATGGTTATCCGCCACGCTATCGGAGCCCCCAGCCAGTCGGTCGCGACACCGTTCTTCCTGAACTTGAATCACGCGGCACAGGCTCTCGGCGCTCGCCAAGTTGGTGTCCATTAGTTGATCGTACAGCACCATCTGCTCGAGCACGCGGCAAGCCCGCTCGTGCTCGTCCACCCCCACGTCCGCCGACGACAGCTTGGCCTCTGTCCTGAAGCGCATGTGACGGCCCATGGGGCTTCCTCCGTTCTGCTCCATAAACTCCAGCACCCAGAGGACCACTCTCGGTCCGCGAATTGGCCAATCATGCCAAGCGTCTTCCCGCATGAACAAGATGGCGTCACGGAAGGCTCGATGGCGGTTGCCCAGCGTGTCTAGGCAAACGGGCCGCACACGAACGTCAGCGACACCAGGAAGCGCCGCGGGAGCAGGAGCAGCACCGGGGATCGGGGCCGCGGCCGCGGCCGCTGCTCTCAAGGCTGGAGCGGCAGCGGCAGCCGCGGGGGCGCCCGCGTAGGCCGCGAGGCCTGCGGCGCCCGCGGGGGCCACGCCAGGCACAGCGCCTGCTGCAGGACCAATCGGTATCGCAGCAGGCGGCTGCAGGCCCCCCCCCGGCCCGGCCTGGGCGGCTGCGCCCAAGGCCGGTGCGGCCATGGGCACAAGCCCTCCACCCGGTGCTAGGCCGACGGCCGCGCCTCCTGCTCCACCGCCTGCCGCGAGCGCACCTCCAGGCGCCGCGGGCGCGGGTGCCGCCAGAGCGGCCGCAAGGCAAGTCACGCCGTCCGCGGCGCCTCCCCCAGCGGAGGCGGCGGCGCCTGCAGCGGGCATCGGCATGCCAGCGAAGCCAGCGCGACACACCACGATAACAGCGAAGCCAGGGCGCATGGGTAATCCAAGACGAGTGGCAGCTGCGTCCCGACGAGCCTGAAGAGCAGCAGGTAGGGGTACATTCTGAAAGCGATGCACATGATCTGCTCCGATCCCTGGCGCCTCACGGCCCAGCGCTCCACCTTCAAGAACCGCAAACTCCTGGATATCGCCTCCAGCTGTCAGATCCTCTTCATACTGATTGTTATCTGGAGTGAGGATGATAATGATCGACTACGCTCCAGGTGGAATGACCAGAATGACTCTCTCATGCCAGCTCCGTGGCCCAGCAACTCCGCACCGTACAGCGATCACATCGCCTTCCTGCAAGCCAAGGAGCCGCAGAGGATTCGCCATCAGGCCTCGACGCGAGACAGCTGGCTGCGGCTGCGGAGCCGAGCGGCCTGCTCTCGCGCGACGTCCTCAATCGAGCGCGCACCCGCGCCCACGATCGGGGGAACTGAAGGGGTCAGCCTAGCCTGCCGTCCGACGAGGTAGCCCGTGCCTCCCGCCAGCAGGATGCCCACGAAGAGAAGCACCCACGGAAGCGAGCAGACGCACTCCTCACGCACCAGCTCCTTTGCAGACTCCCCAGGCCCGCACACCAGCTGCGGCGAGCAGAGGCAGTCTGGACACGCAGGATTCGGTCGCGACAGGCCCCACACGACTGCCGCCGTATGCGCCGCGCGAACGCCCTCGGCTGCCAGCGCCTGGACCAGCGCTTGCATGCGCGTGGGGGGTGCTGAAAAAGGGACGACCACCCCCTTTAGAGCTTGAGCCGCGTGCCACGGAGCAACACGCGGAGTGTGAATTCTCACATGCGGCATCCTTGCGGCCAAACCCTCCTTTGCTTACATATCTAAAATCAACCATACCTGAACTCAATCCACGTCGCCCGCCATTTCCACAATCGCGCCCAGGCGAAGCCGTTTCTGTTCCGCGCGCCCCAGCAAAACGACGAGCCCCAACCCCAAGCAAACAGACAATTGGTTTGGCGAGTTGCTCCCTCCCCCAACGAAGTGCGCCAACGTTTGAGCCAAGGACGCACGCGCGCCTCGCAAAAAAACGTTGCGCAACCTGCCAGGTCTGTCTCCTGGACAAGGGTCGGGATAAGTATGTGGTTCAGTGCTGGGCTGCACGCCGCGGCACTTCCCTGATCAAGGCAACTTGCCTGGGGATCGTTTCTGGATGGCTGGGAATCCACTGGCTGGGAATGCGCTGGACCACGGCCAGCATGTCCACGGGGCGGCCAATTCAAGGAACCAACCAGCCCACCCTACCGACGCGTCTGGTAGTGCAACGAAGAAACGCTACTTCAGAAGACCGCCAGAAGTCTCTGGGGACCTCCAGAAGCCACCTAGGTCGCCTACCTTCACGGCCTGCGCCGCGCGATGCGTTAAGCGCAGTTCTCCTCGCGCCCGGGCGCTGCCACTCTAGAACAGGACGACTCTCCAGCTCAGACCGCGAAGCACGACGCCCGAATATCTTCACGCCCCCACGGGCGACCTGCAACGTAGAAAAGATACGTGCTACCTGCCGGAAGGGGGGGCGGGCCTCCATCGGCTTGTGACATGACTTGTGATTTAGAGGAAATGTTGGGCCCAATCACGATTTCGACCTCGAACCGACAAGACTTCAGCCCGAGATTTGGAGGAATCCTTGGGCGGAATTGCCACTTCGATTTAAAACCGAGCACGGTTCGACTTGTGATTTAGAAGTCTTCTTGGGTGAAATCGCCATGTCGACTTTGAAGCAAATCATGTTCGACTTTCGTTTTAGAGGAAGTCCTGGGCGGAATCGCCATTCCGACGTCGAACCGAGTGGGGTTTCGACTTCTCTTGTGGACAAAATATGTAGCGGAATCGTAATTTCGACTTTGACCCGAATGGGTGTTCACTTCTGTTTTGGAGGAAGTATTAGGATTAACCGCCATTTCGACTTCGAAGTCGAGAGTTCAAACTTTGGTCGAAGCTGGTTCTGTCGAGGAAGACTTACGCGGAATCGTCGTTTCGACACGGGCAGCCCGTTTGGTATTTCTAAACTTGTAACTCGGTAGCCCGAAAGTCGAGAGTATGGCTTTCGCTTGGGACTTCCTCGACAAAAACGATTTCGACATGATCTCGAAACTCGTCGGCTCGAAGTCGGCATGGCGATTCCGCCAAGTTCTTCCTCTCCGAACATTGTTCGACCGAAGTCGAAACTCCCCAGACCGAAATCCAAACTGCGTGAACATGTATTCGCTATACGGAGCAACGAGACGCACCCTGGGAACATTGCACTAGGGCCCCTTCGCCTAACGGACTCCATTCGAAATACCCTCCGCTGACCAATTGTACCTGGGCCTTACCGCCTAACGAAGGAAGTGAAATGTTGGCCGAACTTTCGCAGCGGCGAAAGATGGACATGTTTTATGACATCCGCCCGAAATCGGTCCCAAAACTCCTCGAGGGGTCTGGCAATGCTGGCGGTCCTGCTATTGTGTTGCGTTGGTACCTCCGCTGACACTGTTGCCATCCTATTGTTTGCGTCTGCATGCACACGTTGATCCGAAATGCAACGGGGAGACAGGACGAGATTTTCTCACAAAGCATCTACTTCCCGGACACACCCTGACGGCAATGCCGGTGGTCCTGTAATTATTCTGCATTGGTATACCAATATCAGTATACTGGTTGCCCTACAATTGTGCACGGCTGATGCCCACGTTGATCCGAATTGCAACGTAGAGGCGATACGAGGTTTTTTCACGAGGCATCCACTCCCAGGGCGCAGCCCAGCGGCAATGCCGGCGGCCCTGCATACATATCACTACATATCTCTCACACACACGCTAGCACGAACAAAAAATGTTGCACAAGTGACTGTCACAAGGTCCAAGGAGTGTTCATACCAATCGCCGATCCCATATACGGCCAGTGCACCAGCTTGAATCCAGTGCTGCCTGATCTGGCGACTGAGCGCGTCAATGTCACATGGAAGCGAAGGCCGCCGCTAACCCACTCGGACTGCGCGCCCCGACCGACACCCCGCCCCCTCCTCCCTCATTCCCCCTCCTCCCACCCTGGCGTCCGTCCTTAACGCCCTCGCGGTCGTAGGCCTCCGCCACGCGCATGGCGGAGACCCTGCCCGACCGCCCCCGTCACGAGCGGGGATGGAGGCTAGGGCGGGGTGCCGCCACTTCTCCGTCCTCGTCCGTCATCCATCCCTCACGCCCATCCCTCCCGCCCTCCCTCCAGCCCTCCCTCCCTCTTCGGCCTCCTCCTGCTCCTCCTCATCATCATCAGCAACAGCAGCACAAGCATAATGACCATGCTCATCGTCATCCTTTCCCCCCCCACCACAGCCAGGAGGACGCCGACCCACTTAGCAGACCAATGGCAACCTCACCGTGCCCGTGAGGTGGACCCCGAGGTCGGGCCAGAACAACCCAGCGGACAGCAAATCGTGTGGGCCAGGCTCGATACTGGGTGAAACGTTTCTTCCCGCGCAGCGAATGACCGGAACATATAACGAAGTGGTCCACACTCCCGCTGCCAAGAGAATCTGGCAAATGAGTCCTCTGGTGTGGCATGCGGGCCGAAGGCTCAAGGGCACAATGGCCCGCCCAACAGGGACGAGGGGCAAGGGACGCCGAGAAGGACGCGGAACAACGGGAAGGAGGGGAGAGGAGGAATGGTAAATTCTATATTCAGAACTATACGATGCGACCAAGGCGTCGTTCTAAGCGCCAGTGAATAACTGCACGAATTTCCGCCCCGAGTTTCGGCCTGCGGCGGCTGCTGCCGATTACCCCACAGCGACAAAGCCGACCAAACTCCAACATCAGTGAAAAGGCGGAGCCGCAGAGCCGTGGCGCGCTGAAGGGCTGCCAAGAACAACCAGCTGAGTACGGAAAGCAACGGCACCCACAGGGAAAGGATGAGGGGCAGGAGGAAAGAGGAGAAGGCGGCAGAGCGAAGGCAGCAGTAAGTTACAAGTGAGGGCATACGATAGGAACAGAATCCAGATCCCTATCACACCATGCTCGTCGTCATTCTCTCAGCAGCGCTTGCACTTCAGGGGTTTTTACTTCTCTCTTCCTGAAAGAATTGGATGGGTCAACCGAGGTTTCGCCTGGCGCCTGGTTGGCGGGCGCCCGTGAGCGTCTCGTGGGCGCCCCGAGTTGGGTGGGTCAGCTGAGGGTTCGCCAGCTGCCCGCCCATGGACGCGTCATGGGCGCCTCTTGTTGAGTGGGTCAGCCGAGGTTTCGCATGGTGCCAACCCGTGGGCGTCTCGTGCGCTGAATGGGTGTGCCGAGGTTTCGCCAGTTGCCCGCCCGTGGTCGCCACGTGGCCGCCTCGTGCGCTGGGTGGGTCAGCCGAGGTTTCGCCTTGGTACCCGGAGGGGCGCCTTGTGGGCGCCTCGTGGGCTGGGCTTGCGTGCCGAAGTTTAACCCAGTGCCCGTGGCCGACCGTGGCCGCCTCGTAAGCGCCTCGTGCTCTGGAGTGCCGCGCAGGTTATCTTTGCAAGAGAATGACAGGACCCACCCCCGTCCCGAACCCAGACTTAACGGCTTATCTCTTCGTAGTTCAGCTTGCAGGTGATCATAGAACCTTGTTCATATTCAATTCAAAATCATACCATCGCGGCCAGGCCAGTATTGACACCCTCCCCATCACGGTCAAACAATGTCATGCGCGCACACACGTTTATCACAAAAACACCCTGGTTCGATCATAGTTCTGCAAAAATACAACGAAGTCCACGCGTGCGCGCGCATGAGTCGAAATCAGATCCGATGACCTGAACATCGCAAGCACTGCAACGTAACAAGCATGAACATACCATTGCATGTCATCCGCAATGTTGCATATCGTCTGCCCGCGTTGCAATCATCGGAAAATGTAAGTTTACCAATCTCGTCCAAAAGCCCGCGCTATCATCCCGCCACGCGGTGCACCAGCATTGATATGGCATGCGCCTAGTATACGAATCCACATCACATAACAACTGGAGCCACGCGCGCGCTTCGCGCGCGCTTAGATCCTGGTCGACTCCGAAGACGGTGTCAATTTCCATGGGACCTTTTCCATGTATTCTTCCGGGTTCCTCCCTTTCACCCATGCCTGATTTTCGGGCGGATGCTGCGAAGTTCAAGGAAGGGTTTGGCCTGTAGCGTACCAGCGACGACCGACGACGACGACGACGACGGACCACCGACGATCAGCATCATTGTCACCTGGTCTACGTGTGCGGGAGAGGCGTTTCCGGAGCGTCTTGCAGGCGTCAGTCATGGGGGCGTCCTCGGGCCTCGACATTGGGTGGGCGGGCCGGGGGGTGCAGCCAGGGCCACGTGTTCCGAAAGGCTGTTGCGGAGCATGGAGGACGAAGGGCTCCTGGCGGGCTTCGGAAAGTCTGTGTGGAGGCCTCCTGCGAGCTCGGTGGGGGTTTCTCGGGAGCTTCTCGGGTCTTTCTGGAGCCCTTTTGGGGGCTTCTTGGGGCGTCGTGGAGGCTTCCTGGGAGGTCCCATGGGGGCCTCTTGGGGCAGAGGGTTCTCTGCTCGGGCATTTGGGGGGCTCTCTGGAGCCTCCTGGGAATGTCTTGGGCCGTTTAGGGTGCTCTCTGGGGCCGTCTTCAACGCGTGTGGGCCGTCCTGGCCCCCTCGAGGAGGCCTCTGAGGCCGTCTTGGGGCGGACAGGCGGGATGACGAAACTCATTCATAAACCTCTGGGAACTAAAACATGTTGCTTCGTGGGGCCATGGAGAGAGAGTGCGGTTGGAGGCCTCTTGGGGTGACTTGGACGCCTGCCAGGCTTTCTCGCGGACCTCTTTGGGGTCTTGGAGCAATTTTTGGCGACTGTGGGCTCTGGGGCTATCTTGGCGGACTCCAGGGCTGCCTGCAGGCCCTTGAAGCGCCCATGGGAACGTCCCAGGGGCCCTGGGGCCCCCATGGGGACTTGTGGCAGCTGGTCGACGGGCCCCGACCCTCTGTTATAGATATACACATGTATATGTGTGAATATATATATATATATATATATATATAAATGAATTATCCCAGTGCGACCCTACCTAGGAGTTGGAGCCCCTAGGAAAGCAGCATTAGTAGTAACAGTGAAGCTAAGCTAAAGCTAAGCTAAACCTAAACTAAAGCTAAGCTAAGCTAAAGCTAAGCTAAAGCTACGCTGAAGCTAAGCTAAAGCTAAACAAAGCTAAGCTAAAGCTAATACAAAGCTGAGCTAACGCTAAGCTAAAGCTAAGCTGAAACTAAGCTGAAGCTAAGCTAAAGCTGAGCTAAAGCTGAGCTAAAGTTAAGTTAAAGCTAAGCTAAAGCTAAGCTAAATATAAGCTGAAGCTAAGCTAAAGCTAAGCTAAAGCGAAGCTAAAGCTAAGCTAAAGTTACGCTAAAGCTAAGTTAAAGCTAAGCTAAAGCTAAGCTAAAGCTAAGCTGAAGCTAAGCTAAAGCTAAGCTAAAGCTAAACTAACGCTAAGCTAAAGCTAAGCTAAAGCTAAGCTAAAAAGGTAGGCTACAGCTAAGCTACAGCTGAGCTACAGCTAAGCTACAGCTAAGCTACAGCTAAGCTAAAGCTAAGGTAAAGCTAAGCTAAAGCTAAGCTGAAACTAAGCTGAAGCTAAGCTAAAGCTAAGCTGAAGCTAAGCTGAAGCTAAGCTGAAGCTAAGCTAAAGCTGAGCTAAAGCTGAGCTAAAGTTAAGCTAAAGCTAAGCTAAAGCTAAGCTAAATATGAGCTGAAGCTAAGCTAAAGCTGAGCTAAAGCTGAGCTAAAGCTAAGCTAAAGCTAAAGCTAAGCTAAAGCTAAGCTGCAGCTAAGCCAAAGCTAAGCTAAAGTTAAAATAAGGCTAAGCTAAAGCTAAGCTGAAGCTAAGTTAAAGCTAAGCTAAAGCTAAGCTAAAGCTAAGCTAAAGCTAAACTAAAGCTAAGCTGAAGCTAAGCTGAAGCTAAGCTAAAGCTAAGCTAAAGCTAAGCTAAATCTAAAGCTAAAGCTAAAGCTATAGCTAAAGCTCCCAATGGACTGGGGGAACCGCGGGGCGGGGACTGGGGGAACCGCCGGGGCGTGGTGCACTGCCCGGCCCCTTTAAGCTAAGAGAGTAAGAACCCTCTAGGCAGAGCCTACGTAGGGAATATATATATATATAGGGAATATATTATATATATATATATATATATATATATATATATATATAGCTCGCTAGCACAGGGCCAGGCGTTGACTGAGCTAGAAGCGCGAGAGCAGCAGACACAAAGCGGACGAGGAGCGCGACCGCGCTCGAGAGGACCACCTGTGCGACCCTCACCCGAAAAGTAATGGCGAGAAGGCGATTCGGGATGGCCACGGGAAAAAATTCGAGCCAGACATGAGTACGTCCGACCTGTTGCCTCTGCTCAGCCCTCAGTTGTGAAAACTACCAGCTCGCTTCGGCTCCGGGGCCAGGCACCTTTTCCATCTGGGACAGCACAGGGCCAGGCGTTGACTGAGCTAGAGGCGCGAGAGCAGCAGAGACAAAACGGACGAGGAGCGCGACCGCGCTCGAGAGGACCACCTGTGCGACCCTCACCCGATCCCGAAGGTTCAACTGGCCGCAGGCCGTATATATATGAAAGAAACCATTCTCTCAATGCAGGCAGAAAGGGCTATCTCATGGCAAAAGACTGGAGGGCGAGACCAGGCTGAATGTGCAACGCTTCGACAATACAGCGCGAGGCAGCCTGGGCGAGGAGACGAGGATACACCGCGGCGACAGCAGTACGCTTTCGCCCTTGCTCGTCGTTGCCCTCCAAGATCACATGGCGATTGCCCGAGCGACTGCAAATGCCTCTTTTTCCAGAGCAGATAAGTTGTAAAGGGCGCATGGAGCCAGCACCCCAAGACATGATGGTCGTAGCTTTCTTAAAGTCGGCGCAGTACTGACACTGGCGCAGAACTGACTTTTGGCAGGACGGCTGGCGACACAGACGAGCGAGGGGAGGGCGCGACCAGATCTGCGAGGTCTGCGGATTCTCAAGAAAAACGGGCACACGGGCGGAGCTGCACTCGCGAATTATAATCACTGTCATGCGCAGCGTGACATTGCCTGCGGCGGCGCGAGCCTGCTCAGACGATAAAAGGTCGGGCCGCCCGAACGG